ATTTTATTTTATTCTTTGTTAAATGAATCCCACGGTCGTTCAGCGAACCTGGCTTCCTTCGTTGCTTTTGAAAAAAAAAAAAAGTTGCAAATATCGATCACTTGATCTAGGACGCTGCCACCGTCATAAATATGAGTTCCAGTGACCAAAGCACCTGAATTTTGGATGCTGCAATGGAAAAACAGGCAAAAGTCGGTTTTCTGCAGTGATTTTGTAACCTTCGACGATCGCTAAATGAACATAAGGGCTGCCTATAATCCTTCCACGCTCCCAAATTGTTTATTGATTTCCTTCCTAATGCTTTTATTTTTTATAAATGCTTTTATAAATGGCTTTGTTCTGATCGAGCTCCCCAAACACGGCAAACTCTCTGACGTGAACTCAAAAGATTCCTTCATTAGGAATGCCGGCAGCCCAGGGGAAAAGTTTCTCTCGTCCATCTCCGCCCCGTGCCTTTTATCCCCAGAGCTAGGGTGGGGCTTCAGTAGCAGCGGTGGCTCTTCCTTCCCAAGGACCGGCTCATAGATTTCCACTGCTCTCCTCTCCTCTGACTTCTGCGCATCTGCGCAACAGGCACTGGTCCCAGCTGTTCCTCCTCTTCCTCGTCAGCCAGTTCAGAACTGGGGGCTATTGACTCTCCATCTGAGGGCTGATGGACGGCCCGGGCTTCGCCTCTTTTTCTTTTTCTCCCCCCCCCCCTCCCCCCCCCCCCCCCCCCGGGAGCTCCCAGGTTGCCAAGATGCTGGCCCTAACTCCCACGCCTCTTCCTCTGATTTGGTTGCCAGATGGGCCACAGCAGGCTTCCTTCCTTTGTTATTGCATATCTGTTTTTCTTCTAGCTAGCTTTGGGCCGCGTGCAGAGTTATTTCTATCAAGCCGGAGAAGAGTCAGGCTGAGCTCAAACCCGACCAGGCCACATAGCTGGAATGGCAGTTTAAACCTGGCCCTCTTTTGCCCTGACTTGATATTCTTGAAAAGCCAGGATGGCCACTGTGGTTTGTGCAGCTTGCAGTCCAGACTACGGAGAGTTCTCGACTTATAATGGTTCGTTTAGTGACCAGTCAAAACCACAGCACTGGAAAAAGAGGCTTATGATAGTTTTAACACTTATGACCTTTGCAGTATCTCCCGTGGTCACGTGATCAAAAAATTCAGGCGCTTTTCAACTCATTTACGACGGCTGCAGCGTACTGCGGCCACGCGATCCCCTTCGGGCGAGCAAAGCCAACAGGGAAGCCAGATTCACTTAACAACCGTGTCCCTAACTTAACTGTAGGGATTCTGAATATGGGACCTTGTGGATCATCTAGTCCAACCCCTCCACCCAAGCAGGTTTCAATGATTCACTGTGGCAAGAAAGGTGTTAAAATGGGGCAAAACTCACTTAACAAATGTCTTGCTTACCCACAGAAATTCGGGGCTCAGTTGCAGACTTACCTGTACAGCGGGTGGAGAATGTAGAACCCTTTCCAATAGGCTAAAAAAAACACCCTAAGTCTCTCTGTTTTGTCCTGATTTAAAAAAAACAGGACTTTTGCTCCTGGTGAGCTAAACTTTTTAAATATTTGATGTTCCACCTTCCTTAGGCCTTTCTTTTATTCCTAAATTGCAAGTCACTATGAAGGAAATCCGCCTTGTTCCGCCTGTTCTAAACTCCCTTGCCCTGAGATCCAGCGACGATAAACAGGGACGTGTCCCAGATCAGTCAGATTATGGAACAATACGATCTGGCCCAACAAGAGAGACCGGTGGAATGATTAATTCTTGCATCAGGATCCCTAGATTTGCAACTCTGCTTGAGTCTCTTTGCAGCTTTGCAAGTGGCAAAAATAAAGATATATATATATATATATAAAGTTTTCCTGGCAGGGATGGGAGGTATGCCACCTCTTGGGTTTCACCAGCTGGCTTTCATGCCTAAGGTTGGGACTTCAACTCACTTTCTCTTGGCAATTGGCCCAAAGCCAACCAGTTGGCTTTCGTGCCTAAGGCGGGACTAGAACTCCCAGTCTCCTGTTGATTGGATCAAAGTCACTCACCTGGCTTTCATGCATTAGGAGGGACTGGAATTCATCTTGTCCTGGTGATTGGCCCAAAGTCATCCAGCTGGCTTTCATGCCTAAAACTGGACTAGAACTCACGTCTCCTGGTGATTGGCTCAAAGTCACCAAGCCTAAATTGGGACTAGAACTCCCAGTCTCCAGGTGATTGGCCCAGTCACCCACCTGGCCTTTTCATGCCTAAAGTGGGACTACAACTCCCAGTCTCCCGGTGATTGGCCCAAATTTTCCCACCTGGATTTCATGCCTAAAGCGGGACTAGAACTCACCAACTCCTAATTTCCAGCCTGTTCCCACAACAACCCTGCAAGGTAGGTTGGGCTGACAGGGAAGGACCAGCTCAGAGTCCAGAAAGCTTTCATGGTTTTAGGAGGACTAGAACTCAGGACTCCACCTCACTTTCTCTCACGGTGACAATGTTTGTGTGCTTAACTCCCCAAGATTAAAACCCTGTTTCTTACCAATTTCTCAGGTATTATTCTGAACGGGGCGATGCCGTTTCCAAAGCCGCCAAAAGTCCCCACGTGGTAAGTTTCCCTCCTTTCCCATTCAAATCTTGGCCGCCTGGGACCGAGCTAAAACTGGGTTACGGCTCAAACATGGTTTGTTCCTTCTCCGTCGCTTAACAGGGCGACTACCGCCAGCTGGTCCATGAGATTGACGAAGCGGAATATGCCGAAATCCGTTTCATGATCAACGAATTGAGAAACATTTACGTAAGTCCTCGTGGGGTGGTCGGTGCTGATGCTGTTTCCCAAATATTTCCCTCCAAAAAACCCCACAACTGAACGATAGTCTCAAAACCCCCATAGAGCTGCGGAATTCCGTACAGGGATTACCAAGGGCCTGTTTTTAATCATATTTTTTTTAAAAAAACTGACATCTTTTACACAAATCTTTCCAAAGTTTGCCTACTTTAGAGCACCATCCAATCTAAGAATGGTGTGGAGAGGTGAGGGCTCTTCTCTGACCCTCCTCTTGGTCCATTGGCTGAGTAGCTTTTGGGGAAATTTAGAAATATAGAAAACCGACGGCAGAAAAAAAATACCAGCAGTCCATGGGATCCGATCTTTGAGTTTTTTATTTGTTTTTCTCTCTCTCTGTCCATCTGTCTATCCATCTGTTCGTTGGTCCGTCTATCTCCATCCATCTAATCTTCCTATCATCTATCTTAACTACATCCATCTATCCGTTCATCTCCATCCATCCATCCGTCTGTTATCTACCAGTTTTCTTTCTATCTATCTCTCTAATCTAGTCGATCTGTATCCATTCTAGTCTGTTTGTCTATCTCCATCCATCCAATCTACCTATCATTTATCTCTACCATCTATATCTTACCTATTTATCTACATAGCCATCTATCATGTCAGTCTACCATGTCTCTATCATCTATATATCATCTATATCTATCGCTGTCATGTCTTATCTATTTATCTATCTTCATAGCCATCTGTCAGTCTGTCTGTCTATCTATCTATATCTATCATCTCTTATCATCTATCTATCATCTATCTCTATCTCATCATCTATTATTTTTTATTTGCCAGTAGTCTTCAACTTACAACAGTTCATTTAACGGCTGTTCAGTTATAACGGCACTGAAAAAGTGACTTATGACTGTTTGGCGCGCTTACCACCATTGCAACATCCCCATGGTCACGTGATCAAACTTCAGGCGCTTGGCAACCGACTTGTATTTATGACAGTTGCAGTGTCCCGGGGTTGCCTGATCCCCTTTTGTGACCTCATGACAAGCAAAGTCACTGGCGGAAGCCAGATTCACTCGACAGCGGTGTTACTAACTTAATAGCTGAGGTGATTCACTGAAAAATGGGGCAAGATAGGTTGTTAAAATGAGGCAAAAGTCACTTAACTGTCTCACTTAGCATCGCAAATTTTGGTTGTAAGTCAAGGACTACCTGTATTCTGTTATGGTGGATACAGGACATAATGTATCTCAAATCTGAAGTCCACCCCTTTTAAAACGGCCATGTTTGAGCAACGTTGGATTAATGGACCCATCAAACTTGAACTGTGGGTGAGCAGAGGCCAGCTTTTCAGTGAAATTATGTATATTTGTAAGCCTTGGGGGCCCAAAGCAGATTGAAAGGGCTTCATTTAAAGTTCACAAGAACTTTACTCCTTAGCGTCTACGAGAGATCCTCAAGTCATCCAGGTCACCGTTATCCCAAAGGTGCTTTTTTTTCTCAAAGGCGACTGGATTTTCTGGTTTTTTTTCTTTTGAAGAGGTTTCGCTCCTCATCCGAGAAGCTTCTTTGGCTCTGACTCGTTCCCCACCATCCAGTAGAGCTGAAGAAGCTTCTCGGATGAGGAGCGAAACCTCTTCAAAAGAAAAAAAACCAGAAAATCCAGTTGCCTCTTGAAAAAAGCACCCTTGGGTTCACTCCCCATCCGCTCCTTGAGGTTTTTCTCTTAACTTTCCGATCTCCTCGTTTTTTTCCTAGGCTGTGATCTATGACAGCGTCCTGAAGAATTTTGACAAGATTAAGAAACCCCGGGATGAAAACAAAGGGATGATTTATTAAATGGCTTAGCCAGTAATCAGGAGTAAATGTGAATGGGGTCACTTCCCGGACCCCCCCCCCTTTTTTTTTCTTCCCTGATCAACTCGATCCTCTTGAAATAAACAGTTCTTTAAAACATTTGCTGAGAGCAACATTTTAATTCGAGTCCTTAAGACTAAGAAATGCACTTGGATTTTTATCTCTATAGAATCGTGTTTTATAAATATAGAATCTGAACGGTGCAGGTGAAATAAAGCTTCCGAAATCACCAGCAGTCCTCGACTTACGAAAGTTCATTTAGCAACCGTTCAGAGTTGCAACGACACTGAAAAAAAGTAATTTATGGGTTTTTTTTTCCACACATAACTTTTGCAGGGTCACATGATCAAAATTCAGGTGGTTGGTATCTGGTTCATAGTTACGACCGTCACTATGTCTGGGGGGGGTTGTCACACGATCCCCTTTTGCGACCTTCTGACAAGCAAAGTCAATGGGGGCAGCCAGATTCACTTAACGACCATGTTGCTAACTTAGCAACCAGTGTTTCGCATCACGACCGTGGCAAGACGGATCGTAAAATGGGGGCAAAACTCAAGAAATGTCACACTTTAATAGAGATTTGGGGTTCGATTGTAGTCGTAAGTCGAGGACTACCTTGTATCCTGATAAAATCATTTTTTTAAAAAGAATATTGCTGAGGCATTTTTTTCGCAAAGTTGGAATACATTTTTTTTTAAAAAGCACCAAATTTCAAAGCAAATTCATCCTTTCTCTTAAAGAGAGGTATATCTTTGTGGCGGGAAGACATAGAATGATAGTCAAGATAGCTGCTGTGCTGTTAAAAGGGGCAGGGCCTCGATCATGTGATCCTGGTTTGTATCCAGGTTAGTCTGGAACCCAGGATGCTCCTAACAAAGTGCCGGAGGGAACCAGAGTTAAGATCCTTTCGCGAGTGGGCTCGGCTCCTTCACACGCTCCCATTGGCTACGGACACCAACTGGGCGATTTCCGTGTTCAGCTGCTGATTGGTCCAGTCTTGCCTGATGTCATCCAGGTGGCTATCGAAGTCGACCAATCGGGAGTACTCTTTGGCCTCCAGGAGAGACTGGCAAATGTGGCGGGAGGATTCCCAGTCGGTCCACATGACCCTGTAAGAGATCGAAAGGTTTTTTTCGGGAGAGATTGGACAGCCATTTGCCTAGAATGATAGAGTCTCCTGCTTAAACGGGGTTGGGCTAGAAGACCTCCCAAGGTCCCTTCCCGACACTATTACCACATTCTGTTAGTCTAACGAAGAGAAGGACTAGGGGTGACCTGATAGCAGAATTCCAATATTTGGGAAGCTGCCCCAAGGAAGAGGGGGTCAAATTATTCTCCAAAGCCCCAGAAGGCAGGACAAGAAGCGACGGATGGAAACTAACCAAGGAGAGGAGCGACCTAGAACTAAGGGGAGATTTCCTGACAGAAAAATCAAGGTTTTTAAGAAGAGATTAGAAAACTTACTGAAATGGGACAGCTATTTGTGTGGAATGGTATGGGTAGAGCAGGGGTTGGACTAGAAGACCTCCAAGGACCCTTCCACCTCTGTTATTTGTCTGAAAATGGTGCAGGGGGTTGGACTAAAGGGGACCCCAAGCTGCCTTCCAACTCTTGTTTTTTCTTTGATATTTTGTAAAAAGTTAAGCTCTGAATTTAGCTGGTGGGGTACGAACAATTCCCTCATTCTTCTAGATTATCTCTGGGTTAAGACACGGCTGACTTTTAACCCTCGTAATGAAGCAAACCACAGTTAGCTGAGCTAATATGGGACTCTTCTGCAGGGCATGTTTTACCCATCTTAAAAGCCTTGGTTCATAATAACACAACCGGTGGAAACTTACGGATCTCCGAAGGGTTTATAAACTGGGGGGGTCACAAAGCCCCTAGGACGAGAGGTGAATTGATAAGGGCTCGTCCTACGGCTAAAGCGGAGTGGTGCGGTGGCCTAGAGGCGGAGCTCTCGCCTCCCAATCTGGAGGCTGTGAGTTTGATCCTAGGTAGAGGCAGATATTTCTGAGAATGTATCTGCTGAACAAAACTCTGGCGACAGGAAGGGCATCCAGCCATTAAAAACCATTCAGTTCCATTCAATTGCCCAGACTCCACTCCACGGAGGATTACGGGGTCATTAAAAGAGGAGGAGGAGGGTGATCCTATGGTTAAATGATTATGGATAATAATTCAAATGGTCCTCAACGGTTTGTTTAGTGACCGATTCGAAGTTACAATGGGGCTGAAAAAAATGCAACACAATTGCTTTTCACACAACAGTTGCAACATCTTCACAATTGGCAACTGACTCGTATTTATGATGGCTGCGGCGTCCGGGGGGGGGGGGAGGGAGGGGGGAAGAGTTATGTGATCCCTTTTGGCAACTTTCTCACAAGCGAGAGGCCAGATACACCTCACAACCGTGTTCCTAACTTAACAACCACAGCGACTCATTTAACAACAGTGGGGAGAAAGCTTGAAACACAGGACAAAGCTTACATGACCATTGTCTCGCTTATCGGCAGACATGTTGGGCTCAATTGTTGGTCGTAAGTTGAGACCTTCCTGCACGAAACGGTGTGGGGGAAAGACTATTTTCTAAGGAACGTTATAAATTAGTTTTAGCCATCCTTTTATTCCCCTCTTACCTCAGGCCCCTAATGTCTTAGCCTTATCATTTCTTCCTCCCTTTTTTGTGCTCCGTATTAAAACTGCTTGAAGGAAAACGTAGGGGGATATTTGTGTGTGTGTGTGTAAATGCTCTGATTCCCCGAAAATACGACCTACCCTGAAAATAAGTCCTAGCTTGATTTTTACACGTGCTCAGTGGAAGCCCTATTCCCCAAAATAAGCCCTAATTAAGATCCCGCCCACTCCAGAGTGCACAGATAAAAATTAAGCTAGGGTGGGGATGGTGGGTGGTGGAGCTGCCCTACTACTTACCTTTGGACAGGTGTAGCCAGGCCTCGCACACCCCGACACCTGCCTCGCCGTCCCGTTTCTTCTGCAGCCGGTAAGGCTGGGAAGGCTTTCCTGAAGGCCTCCGGAGCTGGTAACAAAGCTCTGGATCGATCCGGAGTTATCGACTGCAGAGGCCTCCAGGAAAGCCTTACCAGCCACAGAAGAAGAAGCTCCTGAAGGCCTCAGCGAAAAGGAGGCCGGGGGTGACCCACACAAGTGTGGATGACGTCCCCTGAAATTAAGACCTGGCGCGTTTTTTTGGTGGCAAAAAAAAATAAAAAATAAGACAGGGTCTTATTTTCAGGAAAATGGTACTCCTGAAAGACTGCTTGTAAATACAGGTTGTGCGAACTGTCGGTAGCTGCAACTCACAGGTTCTTGTCTTTGGGAACCCACTGATGATCTCGCTGCTCCAAGACAGTTAGGGGAGGAAGCTGAGGGCTTATACCGAACTTGCGATTATCCAGCTGGGGAAGGAATTAAGATAAGAAGAAGAAGAAAACAAAAACAAATCAAGGCCTCTCTTTTCCCTAGAGTAATCCCATGGCAAGAAACGGCATGAATATGGAAGAGAATTATCTATAGTTCAGGGTTGAAATACGGCTCCATGGTTGCTCTCTAAGCTTGGTTGCTTTCTTGAAGATGTTTCATGACCCAACTAGGTAACAACATCAGTGCTAGAAGGTGGAAGGGAGGTCTGTGGAGTAGAGGGTGGGGGAGGAGGACTGTGGGGTCCTTGGTGGTTTCTGAGCTTGGTTGCTTTCTTGGAGACGTTTCATGAGCCAACTAGGTAACAACATCAGTGTGATGGTCATTAATACAGCACTGATGATGTTACCCAGGACCCCACAGTCCTCTTCTTCCTCCTCCTGTCTTTCCTTCCCCCTCCTCCTCCCCCTTCCTCCTCCTCCTTGTGGCATTGAGGATGTTACCTAGTTGGGTTATGAAACATCTGCAAGAAAACCACCAAGGTCAGAGAGCACCAAGGATCCCACCGCCCTCCTTCTCTAGCAAACCTCCCTCCCTTCTAGCACTGATTATGTTCCTTAGTTGGGTTATGAAATGTCTGACAGTAAACCACTAAGCTCAGAGAGCACCCAAGACCCCACACAGTATCAAACTTTCAATTTCCAAACATCAGGGGTGCTCAAAAGTTGTGAAAACGCCTCGGGGATTGTTAAAGACATTCTGGTTACTTTAATATAATTTCGACGTACTTATTGAGGCAACTACATCAGTATCGTAACTTTTTAACATCTTGTTTTCCCCTTCCTCCTCCTCCTCCTCTCTGCAAACCTCACTACTAGCACTGATGATGTCACCTAGCTGGGTCATGAAACGTCTGCAAGAAAACCACCAATCTTAGAGAGCATCCAACCCGCCTCCTCCTCCTCCTCCTCCCCCCCACGCTTCTAGCACTGATGATGTCACCATCAAATGCCTGTAAGGAAACCACCAGCCCATGCTCTGAGTAGCCACCAAGTTCAGGGAGCATCAAGGACCCCACAGTTCAACTCTGAGTTATATAAATCTCCTGCAGGAGCCAATCCTGGAGTCAGACGCTGGAACCAGAAGTTTAATTTTCCGAGCTTTCGTACTGGTTCCAGAGCCCATCCTCTCTCTCTCTCCAGAGAGGATTTATACTCCTTGCAGACAGCTGGTCGCTTGCATCCTTTTTAGAGAGATATTGTGGCCACTTTATCTGTCCCCTTAGGGGTCACTTGAGTGGTGCAAAAGAGGGCAGAGCCTTCTTGGAACTACTAAAAGGACCCTGCTGTAGACTGGAGATAGAGGAGGCCCTGTATCCCCCCCGCAACTGTTGAGAAGCGGCTGTTCAATTTGGACATAGAGGGCCTCCTGAGGGCCCCTCTTTCAAACCAGCAGTCCTCTCTGTCCAAAATGTGGATTTTGTTGTCTTCAAAAGAGTGGCTGTTGTCCTTTAAATGCAGGTGGACTGCTGAATCGAGTCCTGGTGGGCTGGTTCTTCTTTGTTGTGACATGCGGTTAGAAAGCGGCTGTTTCGTTTCCCCAATGTACGGATCTGCCCATGGCTCACTGCTTTGGGCTGCATATAACCAGGTGGCCTCAATGACTCTCTAAAAAAAAGGATGCAAATGACCAACTGTTTGCAAGGAGTGTAAATCCTTCCACTGCTCACCATCCAGTCAGAGCCGAGGAAGCTCCTTGGATGAGAAGCAAAATGTCTTCAAAGAAGAAGTCCAGTTTCCTCCTGAAAAAGCACCTTTGGGATAACTATGATCTGGATGCCCGAGAATCTCCAGTCACCCAGACCTTCCGAATCCAGGGAGTTCCTTACCATGATCAGCACCGCGTCATCGTAGAGTTCAGCAATGCGCCCTGCGGTCTTTTGGGCCAAGGTGTTAGGGCTGCCGGAGGGAAGAAAGGAAGGAGTAAGAGAAACTCTAGGAAGGAAAGAAACCCACCTCCTCCTCTCCCTCTTCAAATTCACCTTTTGTCATCCATCCCAGAGTTGGCCTGGTAATAACCAGCAAGGAGCAAGTCGGACTCCGAGCTCCAAGAATCCACCTGTAAAGAGCACGAATGCCGAAGTTAGCAACCTGTTAGATTCAGGATGCGGGCTAGGATGGTGTTTGCTCAACTCCATCCCCCTTTAAGATGCGTGGACTTCAACTCCCAGAATTCTGCCAGCTGGGAGAATTCTGGGAGTTGAAGTCCACCCATCTTAAAGGGGGCAAGGTTGAAAAACACAGACCTGCAAGATCATGCTATCACTCTGCTAAACAACTAATTCCCAAACTCTTTAGTAAGAGTTTCCCTGGTTTACCTATCACGTTAAACCTCAGTTTCTTGTATAAGGAATAATGTTTTGGCCTGATGTATGAATCCAGACTTTAGTTTGGCTGCTCAACATAGTCCTCAATATACAACCACAATTGAGCCCAAAATTTCTGTTTCTAAGCCAGACAGTTGGTCAAGTGAGTTCTGCCCTGTTTTGAGACCTTTCTTGCAGCCGTTGTTATGTGGATCATTTAATCACACGGTGGTTAAATGAATCTGGTTTGACTTTCTTTATCAAGAGGACGCAAAAGGGGATCACATAAGCCCAGGACATTGCAACTGTCATAAATATGAGTCACTTGCCAAGCAACCGAACTTTGATCACGCGACCACGGGAATGCAGCAACGGTCATTAAGTGTGAAAAACGGTCTTAAGTCGCTTTTTTTAGAGCCATTGAAACTTGACTTACAACAAATTGTTGTAAGTCAAGGATTATCTGAATGGCATTTTGCCAAAAATATCCCCCCAAAGCCCGTGAAATATCAGGAAATTACTACAGGTGGGATCTGAAACCTGCGGCTTTTATGATTAAAACTGCCACCGCTTAATATCCCAGGCCTGCTTGCAGGGGAGGATGGGAGCTGGAGTCGAACCTGGAAGAATAGGCGATGCGGAAGGTTCACGTAAGAAGTCTGGGGCAGGGTAAAAGGGTGGTGGTGGGGCTTTATGGCTGTTTGGTGCTATCCTACGGGGTTCAACCGAGCCTCTGCTCCATAAATGTTGAGGAGACAAACCTGGTTGAGCGCCACCTCCAGCATCACAGTGAGCGACAGGTTGCTGTGGAAAAGGGGGACACAGTCCATGATGTAGAGGCATTCGGGGGGGCCAGCGGTCCGCCGGCGCTTTTGAGCCAGAAGAAGTCCGTTCACCGCCACGTGGGGGTACCGAGCCGCATGGAGGCACATCTTGATGTAAGCTCGAGGTGAAATCTCCACTTCCCCCATTCTGGAGAGCAAAGAAGTCTTGGCATAATGCTGCTACAGTCAGAAACGAGGCCTCGGGAGGCCATCCTAACCCCAACCTCTGGCCCCCAAAGGCGCTGGTCTACCCCACCCATTTGACCCTATGGCTGTAGATGATAGGAGTTATAGCTGGCCCCAGCTGGATACGACCTGGCAGCCATCTCACCTGAGTTCTCACTTCTTCCTGTTATAAAGGCTCCTTCGGATGTCCAAGTGAGGAAACTTGAAGTAGAAAGAGATATAAAATTAAAATGTAATACAATGTAATTCAATATATGATACAATGATATATACTGGAAAAACAAAAATACCAAATCCAGTCTGAATATGTGGCTGACTGTGCAATGAACGTAACATATGATTAGTATAGCATGGCATAGTGCATAGTATATAGATTAAAGAGTCGGAAAGGACCTTGTAGGTCATCTAGTCCAACCCCCATCCCAAGTAGACCCTACACCATTTCTGACAGATGGCAGTCCAATCTCTTCTTGAAAGCTCCCACTACTTCCAAAGGCAACTTCTGTTCCATTGGTTGATTGTTCTCACTGTCAGAAAGTTTCTCCTTATTTCCAGATTGAATTTCTCCTTGATCAGTTTCCATCCATTACTCCTTGTATATACTATACACTATATAGTATAGTTTATAGTATAATAAATAGTATTTAGCATAGCATACAATATAGTGTGTATTATATTCTACTCTACTGTACAGCCTAGCATAGCATAGGTAGCCTTGACTTATTCAGTGATTGTTCAAAGTTACAATGGCACTGAAAAAAAGCAGCCTAGGACTGTTTTTCCCTCTTACAACCGCTGCAGCATTCCCGTGATCCTGTGATAGAAATTCGGATACTTGGCATCTAGAATGTACGTATGACAGTTACAGTGTCCCGCGGGGGTCACCTGGTCCCTTTTTGCAACCCCCCTGACAAGCAAAGTGAATGAGAAAGCCAGATTCATTTAACCACCGTGTGACTGACTTAACAACTGCAGGGATTCATTTAACAATTGCGGCAAGAAAGGTTGTAAGATGGGGCAAACCCCACTTCACAAATGTCTCACTTAGCAACTTAAATGTAGGGCTCAAGGGTGGTTGTTAAGTCAAGGACTACCTCTATAGTATTATGTTAATATAAAATATAGTATATAATATAATAAATTATAGTATAATATAAAACAATATAAAATATAAAACAATAAAATATAAAAATATTATAATATAAAATAATATAAAATATAAAATAATAAAATATTATAATATATAATAGTAAAAGATAATATAATTAATAAATAATAATA